GAGGGGTTTCTCGAATCTCAAATTCCAAGAGGGTGAAAACGCCCCTCAAATATTACAATATTTGTTATTTAAAAAAAGGTTAGTCTTTCCGGAAAACGCTTAGACAAGCATAATTTATTTGGTTTTTTTACATATTTTGAAATTTTTTAAAAAAATCATACAGGGTGTTCCAAAAAGTTGGGTAATTTCTTAACCACGATTCTGCTTAAACTGCTTGACGTAAAAAGCTTGTTTTTGGCAAACGGATTTTTCGAAAGTGAAATTCCAACGAGATGAAACTACCCCTCAAATATTACCAAGTTATATAATAATATCGCCATATCTTTTTTCTCATGCTGACATAAATGTGAGAAAATTTTATCCAGTTTGTATGTTAATGGAAATTATTGCTTTGCTTTATCATCACCATTACAAATGATTAACTCGACGCGAACGAAGTCGGTGGTACATGCTAGTTTAGTATATAATAATTTTATTCAAAGAAGTGGTATTTTCAGAATACCACTTCATAAGTAATTTCATGGAGAGTTGGACACAAACATTTTCATTTCCTCAGCATGTATGACTTGATGTAAAATGCTAATTTGATGCTCTGCAACTTTCATTGTATGGTTCATTATTTAGAATGATCATTTCCGTGTGACGAACGTTTAAATATCACTATTATGCGTTTATCAGCAAAATTGATAAATATCACCATTATTCATCTTTCGATTTCTGCCATACTACTGGACCGAATTGATACTCATTATACGCAGAATTTAATGGTCTTTAATTTTTGTAATAGTGAAATATTGGCTAGAGTGCAACGTTTCGGAACTATAGGCAACAATCTGATGAAAGTCCAACAATTATTTTACCATGTCTTGGTCCTCCTGAGTCGAGCGGCGGACGAGCAACCGTGAAAAATAAGATACTTATATTTCATATCAAATGAACAAATTAAAACTATAATTAGCTTTCCAAAACTTTTTTTTTCTCAGGCATCGATCACCACGATCATTAGTCATATACAACTCGTTATTGTTAATAATAATGTTATTACAGGGATCTATCCCAATATCCTCAATTCAAAATTTATAAATCTACATTGACATAAACATTTCAAATTGAGTGACAAAAGGATAAAAGAAACTAAACACAACTTCAACACTTTTTTCCAAGACTTTTTTCCAAGTGACCCCTATAATAGATCTTATTTGACTGGCCTAATATGGTTCATCAAATTATTGAGGTGTAATTTATTTTTGCTATGGTAATAATTTGTTTCCATCAATTTCTATTTTTTATTATATTTTGATACAATCTTTATTTTTACTATGTGAAAAAGTTTGATTAAAAAAAATTATTACAAAAAACCTAAATGTATTTTATTTGTAATTCTAAACAAAGCATTGCATATTATATTTATCAAATGAGTATTTTCAAATTTTTCGCAGAGAATATATTAAAAAATATGTACCCCAATGAATCTTAATTCATGGTAAAAAGGAAGAAAATATAACACAGGATTAATAAAACAAATGTCAACACATAATGAAACACATTTATTGTCGTTATTTCTTAGATCTTAACTACGTTATACAGGGTGGTGATGCCACAATAAGTGTCTATTGTCGTACAGGTACGAATATATTATATTATTTTATAAAATATACGAAATGTTTAAGGTTTTTTATACCAATTAATTTTTTTATATATCAGTCAATAAATACATTGTAATATATTTACAAAAAAACAATTAGTAGAAATAGATGTAGTTTTACTTATTTTTTGATTTCATGCAAAATAACTTACCATATTTCTTAACACAGAATAGCTATAAAGTTTTTGGCACGATTAATAATACCATACATTAACTTCTAACATTTAATTATATACATTTATTTAATAATATTTTAGTAAAATCTCCTAACACTATTAACTTTTTTTTATATATTTATATAAATATTAATTTTTGATACATATTTTCAACTAAATTCAAATGATATTTATTCAAGGCAGTTTTTAAATATTAAAAAAATATAGTTACATATAAAAAAACCTAAAACTGATTTAATTAATAACATATTTTTTCATGAAAACACTACATAATGTTGCTAATTACTACCAACATTCATTAGAATTATCTCAATTATATTTTAATTCTGAGTTCCTTAAATCTGTGTGTTTATTGATTGTACTGATTGATCAAAATGTTTTGAACACTAAGAAATTTTCACCATTGATGAACCGTAAAATACTTATTTCATATACTTATAACTACATTGAAGTTTTATACAAATTAGAAAAACATAAGAACCAAAAATGCGATAGTGCTAAGTACGCAAAACAATATGTCCTGCAATACAATACATTAAAACCAGATACACTGAAATCAGAGAATTCTCATTACTATGAGGCGGCGCACAGAGGGGATTTTTTCCAAATTCGTGGTCAAAATTTAAAATTCTGAAATGAGCAATATTCTCATAATTAATATTTGAAACGACAGGCAACATATCTATCTATTAAGTTAAAAAAAAATTATTATAAATTTTTACCGTATTCTCTAGTTACGTTGATCCAAAGTTAGCTTTGGCAAGACAAAATGTTATGCTGGCTGTCATTACTTAAATTTTCGTTACTAATGACGTTTGGTTTTATTGTGTTTCCAATAATTTTTTGCGAAAAGTGAAACATGGATTGTGTACCTTCATGTATCTAGAATAATATAATATTTTACTTAGTAGTATTTTAAAAAATGCATATATAAACTTTTATTGGTTTTGTTTTCTATTGTTCAAAATGAAAAAAAGAAAAAATTAAGCGTTCATTCGGTTAAGCATTTGGTACCCTTATTAATGCGTGTTAAGCTCAATACTTTTCTTATCAATGCTTAATCTTATTAACTGTGTTAAAAGTGACTGCTAGTTTTTGCTAATCTGTTCAAAATAACAGATTTTTGGCTCTAAACGTAATGTGATATCTACTTATATAATAGAATAAACTGTCTCACTAACAGCCACTTGCATCAACATTTTTTTTAAGAGACCGTTAGGTTAAGGATCTTTTAAGTGCCATTTTAACACTGATTGATGACCTGTATGTCACGTCAAATAAATGGCACAATAAATTTAATTGTCCTTTAGTTAACGGACTCCTAAAAAAATGTCTGTGAAAGTGACTGTAAGTGACGGATATAGGCACATATCAATGCACAGCTTAAAACCTCTGGATCTAGAGACTGAAATTTTGCACAAAGGTTTCTTATACAAAAGTAGGCGAGCAATAAGAAAGAATTTTATAAAACTTGAATTTAAAGGGGTTGTAACTACCCTTTGATAATATTGAAATGTTTTAATTTATAAGAAACCGCTAGTTCAAGGGACAAAATGCTTGAATCACGTATTTTATTTTATTTTGTTTTGACATACGAAGATATTTTTTTTTCCACAACGATTGTCCCATAGGGGGTGAATACAACCCCCTTTTCATCAAGCTGAAATCAATGGGAGTAAAAAGCTGAATTTTGGCTTACGTATAGATTGTTAGGTGTAGAGGTTCAATAAGTAGGGTATTTTTCAAAACCCAAATTTTAAGGGATGAACAACCCCTTAAATATTTTTTATTTAAAAAACTATTGATTTTGGTGAAAAGCGATAGAAAATACGTGTTCAACCATTTTTCTGCAAAATTAACCAATTTTTAAAATAAAACATATTTTAGGGGTTGTACACTCCCTTAAAATTTATATGTAATGAAAATGAAAAACATAAAAACAATTTGTCAAAAATACATGTTTAAAGATGAAAACTACTGAATATTTCCCTCTAATAATTAATATTACCTCTGTTTCGAACTTTGCAATTTTTTATCACCCTGTATAGCATCAAAGTGTATAATAGACATTTTCTTAGTAAATATGACTCACTTTTAATGTAAATACTAGTTTCGAAAAGAAATAGTAAGTTTATGCTACAAAAATCATTTTGGACACGAATTTGGAAAAAATCCCCTCTATGCGGCGTGGCGTGTTAAGATAACTTTTGTTATGTTTTGAACATGAAAGTATAAATGTAAGGGTTAAATATCTAACAGTAAACAATATTAAAAATTATATTTTTATACTTTTCGAAAACTTATATTTTATAACAAAAACTTTTGGTTTATATAACGAAAGTTGATACTTTCGTTATATCGTGTATCGTATTTCGCGTATCGATATACATGAGCATAGTTAGCATTTACTTGTAAAAATATAAAACTGAAACAGAAATTTCTACACCCGTTGATTAGATGCAGATAAAGTTCACGTCTTAATAATCTTAAAATATCATTATATTAACAGGGATATCTGTCTGACAGTGAAATAAACTATGTATACTAAAATTAACTAGATATCATAACTTACAATTTTATCAACATTGACATATACAGGGTGATTTTAACAGTATTTCGGACATGTCGAACACCTATATTAGATATAGTTTAATGTGTTGATGTTCTTAAATATAGTTTAAATTGTTATAAATTATAAAGTTCTGCATCTCTCATTACAAATATTATTTTCGTTTTAGTTGTTGCTTACAGCTAGAATTTTTCTGCGCTACAGCCGGCGCCGTTCAAAGCCTACTTATTCAAAGCGGGCGAATTTTAAAACCCCTTTTTCTCAAAGAAGAATCTAGCAAAATATCAAGTATGCTATATTCTTGGAAAGGTAAGTTTAAGTTCTCTTCAATGAATTAAAAATATACAGGGTATCTCATATAAAAAATCAAATTTTCTGTTGATAATTCTTAAATTATTAACTTTAAAAAAATTATACTTAAACCATTAAATTCTACGTAAAAAGGTGCTTTGAAAATGTTTTCATAAAAATACAAAATTTTCCATAGCAAAAAAGTTACGATTTGTTAAAAATGCACATTTTTGAAAAACACCCCGTAACTCCGAAACGGTAACAGATATCGATGTATGGTTTTCACCATCACGTTTTTGATAAAAACTGAGCTCCAGACACCGATATTAGTTTTCTTTTATCTCCTATAGAAAAGGGTGTTTCCATTTAAAAGCCTCTAATTTGACCCACCCTGTACAGTCAATCCTAAAATCATGACATCCAGTGTTGACAGACAAATTTAAAAGCCAAAAGCAATCAGAAACGACCATACTAGAGAAAGAATATCCCCCTCGACTTATCCTTGTCGGGCTTTGTCCCCCGAGGGCGACGATTTGAATCCCCCCTCGCGGCCATATTGAATGTCATCGTCGACAATGGGCGTCCTCACGTCTGAACAGTGCAGTCTGGACGAGCGGGGATCCCCCACTATGGAGAGCTGCTCCAGATCTGCCTGCGAACAAAACAAAGAGTAAAGAATGGCGAGATGGTTGGTTAGGTATCTTTGTCGATAGGACGTATGAAGAGAAGGGGGGGGGGGTGATTATTGTTGGCGCGGGATATGTAGGCTTAGGTGAAAATGAAGGTGCGTATTATAATAACGAGAAAAACAATGGCGTATGCCTCATTCTTTGTTTTGACTGTTTGTTGTAATGGGTAGATATTACCTCTGGATTATACTAGGCATATTGAAGGTGTCAAAAAACAGTGTTCTACAGATAAAAATAAAACGAAAAGTTCTTGTTAACATATGCCCTATAAAGGTTGATTCTCACTATATCTTCCGTTTCCATTCCATATCCATTCCATATCCATATACGTTCCGTATTTTTTATTGTATTGACGCTATACGTAAGCTTCGTTCCAAATCATTTCCATACTTTTTATTGTACGATTTATATCATTGCGAAAGTTTTATTTTAAAAATTTGTATCTTTTTAAAAAGGTAATAGATTTAATTAAGAGGCGAAAGAATAAATAAATATCAATTTTAACAGAACTTGACAACTCTGTTTTCCGAAAGGTTAAGTAAAAATAATATATTTTTATATTATATAATAAACGATAAATATATTATAGATAACGATAAATATATTATAAACAAGAAACCGGAGCAACACACTATCGTGTGCACACAGTAGTACGACCAGAACTGAATTAAATGATAAACAAAAAATCTGGCGACGACAGTTTTTAGAAGAGCCAATTAGCTATCTTTTAGTAAAAAAAGCAACTTTCTAGAGCAAGTCGTCACTTTAGTAGAGACGACACAGATAAACATTAGCATTTTATATACAGGGTATCCCACTTAAGATGGACACAAGCAAATAACTTGATTGTTTGTTGAGCGATTTTTTTCATTTTTGGCAGGAGGCTGTATGGCTATAAGAGGTACCAGGGTAAGAAATGCGATACCTCATAGACGTACGTTTTAATGGGGTTTGATATTTTTCGAGTCAAGAGTAAACTACCCTTAGGACAGTATTTATTTCAAATCTGATTAATTATATTGAATCCTCTTTACCCAAGATAATTAATCAGATTTGTAATAATTTAAGTTCTAATTGTGATAAATATTGATACAGGGTGTGTTATTAAATTTTATTATATTTGTTATTATTATTATTTTTTTAAGTACTTACGACGCCACTGGATAAATAACTGGTTTATTATCAAGAACCAATTATCAATTAATAATTGATTTAAGTTTTCAGATATAAAGATATAAAATTACAGTTGAGGGTTGGAACCTTTGGTGTTACACAGCAAAATAAAACACTAAATCACCACAATACACCAAAACACTTTTACTTTTACACTGGATGCGCGTTTCGCTAACCATGTTAACATCATCAGCAGATGATCATAAACTAAAAAACAATCTACAATTGGATTTTTTGTTTATATACTCGCTCAGTGGGCACAGAGTGGGCGTGGCAAGATATAGCCAACCGAGTCAGAACCCACAGAGCGTAACAGTTAGATTTCCGCCACTAGAGTAGTAGGAACAAAGCACTTGAAGGAATTGGACCGTTGCCTCTGCTTTACATTTATTAATTCTGATGCTTTCATATGCATCTAATTGACTGTAATTTGAGACTTGTTTAATTAATTTCAAGTTATTGACTAATTTATTCATGAGTAGGTTTGAAGTAGAGGCTAAGAATCACTTTGAATATTTTCCAAGAGTATGGTTTAGGTATGTGTATGATATTTTTTCTTAGTTCATAGATTACTTAGCTTTCCACTTTCCAACGAAAGATATGAAACAGAAAGAGATTACATTAGGAATGTAGCTGAGTGTAATGGATATTCTCCTTCACTAGTTGATAAAATAATTAGAAAACGTAGGTATAGGTTAATGATTTCTGAAAATTCGACTTTTCAAGTGGAGAAAGATACGTCAAGATATTTTTCAATACCGTTTGATAGACATTTATCCCGTTGTCTAAAACGAATTTTTAAGAATGTCAATTGTAAACTTGTGTATAGTGCTAATAATAAATTACAACAATTATTAGGTAATCCAACGGATAAAACACTTCTACTGGAAAGATCGGGTATTTATGAAATTTCTTGTAAAGATTGTAATCAGAAATATGTTGGGCGAATATGTTGGGCAAACTAGAGGATTAATATTAACTACATTTAGCTCAGATATGGTAGACCGGATAAATCTTGCGTTGCCGAACATATTGTTGATAAAGAACATTGTATAGATCTTAATAACTTGAAATTAATTAAACAAGTCTGAAATTACAGGCAATGAGATGCATATGAAAGCATCAGAATTAATAAATGTAAAGATAGTATGAACAGAGACAACAGTCCAATTCCTTCAAGTTTTTTGTTCCTACTACTCTAGTGGCGGAAATCTAACTGTTACGCTCTGTGGGTTCTGACTCGGTTGGCTACATCTTGCCACGCCCACTCTGTGCCCACTGAACGAGTATATAACCGCTCCAATTGTAGATTGTTTTTTAGTTTATAATCATCTGCTGATGATGCTAACATGGTTAGCGAAACGCGCGTCCAGTGTAAAAGTAAAAGTGTTTTGGTGTATTGTGGTGATTTAGTGTTTTATTTTGCTATAAAGGTATAAGTTCGTTATATTTTTATAAATCTTTGTTTAGAGCATATTTTTCAAAGTTAATATTGATTGAAATATTACTCAATAAAACGAATAAAAATCATATATCAGATTCCATTGAAAACTGCGTTTATAAATTATTTTGTAACTCATTTGTATTAGCAATAAACTTAAAAAACAATTTTTTAAAGTAAACAAAATAAATTGAAAAATTTTTTGTATCGTATCTTAATTATTATGGAAGCTATCTGAAAATTTAAATCGATTATTAATTGATAATGGGCTATAATTGGTTATTGATAATAAACCAGTTGTTTATCCAGTGGCGTCGTAAGTACTTAAAAAAATTATAATAAAAATAAAAATGTCTTATTTTAATAACACACCCTGTATCAATATTTATCAAAATTAGAATTTAAGTATCTTGGGTAAGGAGAATTCAATATAATTTATCAGATTTGAAATAAATACTGTCCTAAGGGTAGTTTACTCTTGAATCAAAAAATATCAAACCTCATTAAAACGTACGTCTATGAGGTATCGCATTTATTACCCTGGGCAAAATGTACGTCTTATAGCCATAGAGCCTCCTGCCAAAAATGAAAAAGATCGCTCAATAAACAATCAAGATATTGGCTTGTATCCTTCTTAAGTGGGACACCCTGTATGTAGATGAGAAAATAAATGTGTCATCTTAACGAAGGTGGTAGTAAATAACAAGAAAATATTCAAGGAAGATAAAAATATATATGTATTTTTCAATCAAGAATTAAAAAAAATAGTTTTCAATATACAAGGTGTCCCAGTATTCCGTAGATATAAAACTACCGCGTATTTTTGGAATCAAAATAAGTTCATTGGACACAATTTATCTCTATACAAAAGTGCTTAGTTTTGTCCGTTAGGGGGAATCAAACTTTAAAAAAATCAGCATACTTTTTAAGATATTTTAAGAACAGATATTACGATTTGAATAAAATTTGGGGTGCCTATGTTCAGCTAAGCGCTTTAACATTTGACTTCACAAAAACCAAGAGAAAGTGCGGAAAACTACCTCCACCCCTACATAAATTATAGTATTTTTCGTAAAATAGTTCTTCTACTATTTTCTACATTTTTTGTCTCTTGTAATAAAACTCTACATCCCATAGATTTTGAGAAAAAAAAATGGAGAATTTTTTTTCTAAAGCCAGATCTACAAAATATACAAGGCGTGCCAATATTCCGTGGCCATAGAACGTATTTTTTTAATTAAAATAAGTTAAATGGCCATAATTTATTTCAATACGAAAGCACTTCTTTTGATCATCAGCATGAATCAAAAATAAACCCGTAGGTTAATTAATTTAAAATTTACAGCTTATTGTCAAATATTATTTGTGATACGAACATAAAATTCCATATTTTCGTCAACTATATTATTAGCGCATAATAGATTTTATGCGCCTACATAGGCTTGATGGGACATGAAAAGTTTTTTGGAAGTCAAATTCGGAAAATATATCTTTTTCTTAAAAAATATGCGCGGTGTTTTTTTTCAAGGAACAAAAATGTAATAAATACTAGAAGGAGCATTTTACGAAGAAAATTTGGTCGTCAGTGGAGTTGAAAAATATTTATACTAACATTTATGTAGGGATGGGGGTAGTTTTCACCCTTGACTTTTGTGAAACCCAAAAATTAAAGCACTTAGCAAAACATAGGCATTCCTAATCTTATTCAAATCAGAATAACGGTTCTTAAAATATTTTAAAAAATACGTTTATTTTTTAAAGTTTGATGCCCTCTAACGGACAAATAAAGCACTTATGGAGGTCAATTATTGTGTCCAATAAATTTTTTTGATTCCAAAAAAACGCAGTAGGTCTTCTATGTCCACGGAACATTGGGACACCATGCATTATAGCTATTTGAACAAACATTAAAATATAAAAGAAGTGATTTTAAATTTAATCTGTAGCGCTAATACAATTATTGCAAATTTGAAGATCTATGATTAATTAATATTTTTTTAATGAAATTAGTTATTTTTTACAACTGAATTAAATTTAAAAATGATTGAATTAAAAAAATCACACCAACACAATATTTCGGGTTCTGATAACCACTTTATAATAACTTGAGAAAATGTACTATATTATTTTTTAATGCATATTATATTTATGTTAATAAGAAATATGTTATAGAAAATTGGTAGTTAAAAGTTAAAAAAAACTTACCTCTAGTAAATATCCTACTATTAAATCGCAATCGTCTGGAATATCCAATGCATGATTGTGCAAAATATCTGTTCGGGACCACTCACAGTCCACGTAGATGTCCACTATACTTTGATCTCTGAGGCTGTGAATAATAACAATAAAATTAATAATTAATAAATTGAATTAATAAAAATTAAAAATAAATAAATTTAAAATTTCGTTTTCGTTAATTTGGATATAAATGTACTTGATAATACTGTTTTGTAATTAAAAACGTGTAAGAAATTTATTAATAAACTACACTCACCGGTATGAAAAATGGGAACCTTAAAATTTAGAAGTGCTTTAAAGTTTAATATATTTTGTTCTAATGGGCCGATACATTTTCGCTTTTAAAAAAATCGTATATTAAATTTCAATCTAGAGTGCCATGGCTGTGTTAAAAATATTAATTTTTAAAGCATTTTTTTACGAATAATTTGGTACCACGTACTTGGTATATTTCGGGTAAAATTGTCGTTATGAACCGCATCTTACCATATGAGAAAATGTCAAAAGTTGACATCTGATATGTCACTCTATTCAGATTGTCATTTTCTATCGAATAAAGTTAAAAAAAAGCGAGGATGCCATTTAAAAATCAAAAGTTGTAGTCATTTCCGGTGAAACAGGAAGTGACCAAACACAATTGAATACGTCAATCAATCCTAATTTATGTCATATACTAACGTACCAAATCTCGTTTTTTATCTGAAAAAATAAAAAAAACTTATGGGGGTGAGCCACTTTTGAGACGCACCCGGTATACAGGGTGTCCTAATATTCCGTGAACATAGAACTACTACATATTTTTGGAATCAAAATAAGTTCATTGGACATTTCTTCAGATATTTTAAGAACCTTTCTTCCGATTTAAATGAGGTTTTAGTTGTCTATGTTTTGGTAAGTGCTTTAATATTTGACTTTTTCAAAAATCAATAAAAAGTACGGGACCAACGACATACCAAATCTCGTTTTTTATCTGAAAAAATAAAGAACTTATAGGGGGTGAGCCACTTTTGCGACGCACCCGGTATATTATAGAGAATTTTTATAAAATAGCGCACATTCATTGTCAGTGCAGTTGAAAGCAAAAACATATTCTCACGATATTCGCCATTTAAGTGCTTTTCCATTAACGTACAACTGTGCAATTTGGATGACAGATATTCTAAAATATTATTGTTAGACTGTTGTCATACTATGTTATATTTTCTATATTTTGTACTGTAGATATGCTTTCTTCTGCTAACATGAAAAAGGTAAACATGTAAGAAAAAAAAACATTATAGGTAATATATTTACTTAGATTTTTTTATTTAGATTATACGGAAATTCTAATTCGGGGTAAATTATTAGAAATATTTTGGAAGCCAAAAAGTTGCTACTTTTTCATGAAACTAAAGATGGCAAACGCATATTTGATGCCGCTGTTAAAAATTCATGTTAAAAATATATGAAAAAAAAGACTTAAATCTTTTAAAAGATTTAAATCTTTTGTAAAATGACTTAAGCCATTAAAAAAGATTTAAATCTTTTTAATGACTTAAATCTTTTTTAATGACTTAAATCTTTTTCTATTTCGGAATAAAGACTAAAATCACAAGTCATTTTGAAAATGACTTAAATTTAATAGAGAAATATAAAATTAATTACACATCTTAATTACACTTTTATCATATGAAACCGCGATAATACTAAAATGCATCAAAATCCAATTTAAAATTTTTCAACACAAAACCAACATTTACCTTACCTAACGGCAATTTGATGCCACATTCCGTCACTCAATCCCGCCGGTATTCTGACAACGTCGGTCCCGTTTCCTGTGGCGTGGATGAGTTTTAAATCGGTTCCCGCCACTTCAAAGGATAAATAAGAATCCTGTCTGCGGCGAGACCTCAGGCTCACGATTGTGCCGAGAGTCGTCTGCAACGTCAAAAAAGGAAACGGTATTAGAATGGATTTAAATTCGTAGAGGAAAGGTGGAATTTTATTACAAAATGGAACAAAATTGGGTTTATTATCTCTTTCAATTTTAGGAAAATTGGGGCTTCTGTCCGATAACATTAAAAACTATTTTTGCATTATAAATCATCCATGCATCGATGATTCATTATATCATACGATAATGTAGTAGTTGCTATTTGATATAGTTGCTATGATTCGTTTTAGTATAGTTGCTCTTAGTTTTAATCATCTGCTGATGATGCTAACATAGTTAGCGAAACGCGCGTCCAGTGCAAATGTAAAGTGTTTTGGTGTATTAGGGTGAGTTAGTGTTTTATTTTGCTGTTGTAAAACCAAAGGTTCCAACCGGCATGCGTCAACTGTAATAATTAAGTTGCTAAGTAATATTTAAATTATAAGCTGCCATTTTTTTCACTATTAAATATACTCAGATGCAAAAAAAGTAACGGAGAAATTTTTGGTCAAAAATATATTTTCAAAATCGACATTAGTTTATGGACTTTATTATTTATAACAATTTACTTTTATTTAATTTACCTACAGTAATTTAATAAGTAAGAAGTATTTATTATTTTATCAAGAAAAATAAAAAAGTTGTTCTTTGATATATATTACGATGACTAACCAATTATAGCAAATTCATTTACTTTACTTCCAACGACAGGTTTCTGCCTAATAGATTTTCCACATACTACACTATCAGCTCTGCGAAATAGGAAAAGTAGTATTTCAAAGGAACTCTTGTCAAGAAAATTCCTATTTGGATATCTTTGAGCATAAACCCTTCAGGCCAACCAAGCAATTGTCCTCACAAAATAAAATAATTAGTAACATGTCCACTCCTTCCGCCAGCAGATACTGCTTTATTTTTCTTGATAAAATAATAAATACTTACTTATTAACTTTATTGTATGTAAATTAAATAAAAATAACCTGTTATAAATTTAAATTAACTCCATTGAAGTCCATTAACTAATGTCGATTTTGAAAATGGCTACTGTCACAAGAAAATTGCCATGGCGACACCAGCCATATTGATTACAATTTTATCGAAAAATCGCTTTTTATTCAAAATCTGAGCATATATAGGAAAACCCTAATATAGTTTGAAAGAGAATTTAAATATGCTTCAACTTATTTAAAAAAATTCATAGTGTTGCATTTGAAATAACGAAGTTTTTATGTAAAATAAATATTTAAAATAGACCAGCAATTTTTGTTATCCCTGTATACATTTAAAGAAGCAATCAAATTTTTTAGTAAAGTTTCTTTCTCGGGCGTGAAAGTTAGCACAAGAATTATTTCTGAAAAGTAATGTACAGGGTGGACCATTTTGGTTGTTTCTATAGGGTATCTAGGAAACCGTGAGAAATATTCAAATTTTGATAATGCAGTCTCGGGTTCTTTTTTTGAAAAAATTACAATGGTGCAAACGGATCGCGGCTATCATGATCGGTTTCGAAGCTACAGGAGGATTCTCAAATTTTGTACTTTTTGAACATGTTCGATAGTTTGTTTATTTCAGCAACCACGGAAAAATGAATTATACATTCTAAAGGCACTTTTCTGTGTAGAATGCATTGGCGTAGTCAGACTTTTTTCGAAAAAAATATTTTTTGAGATATTAACTATACTTATTTTTTTTTAAATAGAACCCCCTGTATATTTTTAAATTTTCTTATTCAGCTTGGCATGGGCTTCTCGAAAATATATAACACTCTATATTTATTTTCACTATTAACCTCAACATTTCAAAATTTTCTTAAAATATCCACTTAGTGGATAGTAGGCCGCGCCGAGTAACAAAGTAAACAGTTATCATGGTGATCGGAGCATAGCTTTGATGGATGCGGGACATTTCATTTCAATAGATTGAAGTGTGTGTATTTTAAATAATAAAAAAATGAGTAAATTTGAAAATTTTGAGAAATATAATATGTTAGAATGTTATACTGAGTCTAACAAACATAAGCAAATGGCAGCTGATTTATATTTTGAGCGGTATCCAGAAAGCCGAGCAACCAAACCCAGCCATTTTTAAAAGGTTAGAAGATAGTTAATCAATTTTGGATCTTTTCAAAAACCGGGCCTGAAAAATTATCAGAAAGAAGATGAAGAAAATCAATATATTATTATCAATATAGATACCCTATAGAAACAACCAAAATGGTCCACCCTGTACAAGGTGTTGACAAATTTTTTTATTATAGCATACATATTTAAATATCTTTAAATATCTCAAAAACGAAAGCTTTTGAACATATTAAAAACTTATAATAAATGCCTTATTTTATATCTAAGAATCCAAAAATACCGGGTGTCCCATAAGAAAAAATATAACTTTGGTATGGATTTTAGTTTTGACACACCCTGTACATTTCAAAATAATTTTAAATTATGCACATTGCCTCCCCATCTTTCCGTTTTCGTATAATCAACCGAGGCGAATGTACCCTGTATATCAAAACCTACCCTGTATATCAAAATTGGTTCGAATATTACAAAATATTTATATTTTAAGAATTAAAATTTCATTTTAAAATACAAAGAGTCCCTGGGTCTTTGAATATAAATACTAGAATGGTAAATAGAGATAAAAGGCTTTAAAGTTAACGATCTAAAAGTAAGATCTGCAAATGTAACTAGATAACATCAAAGATAATGTGCTAAACATCTTTTAATTACCAAGCAAACGATAACTATGACACAGTAATTTAAAAAATATATAAAAAACTGCAACAAAATAAACGAGACGAAAATAACTGGCCATATTAATATTTATCGTTCAATCGCATAATTTTCACCACGATAGCCACATAAATGGCCCTAGAATTTAGCTTGTGTAGTTATTGGCGCTCTACCAAAACCAAACCAGGCTTTTTGAAGTTTTTGTTTGACTGTTCGTTTTTGTTAATTTCGGAAATGCTGCATCTATTTTGATGGAATTTTCATTGGGAAATTTTTGGAAAACAACAGAATTAAATTTTTAATTAATTTAGGATCTCTTATAATGTATCCTTTTACAGACTGTTCTGATTTTATAAATTAAGGATTCACATATTTCGTGGGATTTTTAAACTTTTCCTAATTAGCATAGAAAAAAAATATCTGAAAGCCGCATATTTTTAATTAAATTACTAAAAACAGATTTAAAAAAAAATAAAAAAGGCTTAAAAAAATAAAGGCGTACTTGTATCTGTGAGAAATGTGGCAACGCCGCAACAGCACCTCGTCGCATATTTCTCAGCCCGACTTAATAAGATAATAGAATAAAAGAATGAGAGACCGACCCAAAAGTAAGAGTTGCCAGCGCGGTATAACTTTTAACATTTACAACAATATTTCTAGGATTTTTACAAGGGCTAGTCTCTCAAATTGGCTGAAGCATAATTTAATGCTCTCAAAATTGTAAATTTTATTGCATGCATGAAAGCCAAGTTTCACTTTTCAGTTTTTATCTATTCATATATTTATTAAATTATAGGACAAGATATTTTTACGGAATATTTAAAGAAATAAAAAATATTTTTCTATAAAAATGTCAAAAGAATAAAAAAACTTGAGCATAGATAATGGGTAATAAATTATATAGGAATAGAAGTTTCTAACATACATCCTTCTTTATGTCTTAAGATGCAAATTTTATTGAAAATTTTAAATTAAACTTTAAATCCATTATAAAGCCTGCATATGCAATTTTTAGGCAAGTTCTTTAGAGCATTATTTCTTACATTTTGAAGTAGAAAGACAAATAAGTCTGGTTAAGATCGATGGAATAACAATTTTAGGCCTTGTGTTCACGTGGTTAAATATAAGAAGTGTTTCTCAAAATTGAGTCTACAATATAATTTTTTTTATTTGTTTAGATAAAATACGACATTTGATATTTTAGTCTTCTTCTCTTTCTTCTCCTTCTTCTACTTATTCGAGATCTATGGAGATGGACTGCCGACTGTCTTTCCATCTTTTTGGAGGCTTTCCCGGCCACCTCTTACCCATGAGTTTCTCTTCAAGAGCTACGCGTGGTAGCCTGTTTTGTTCCATGCCTTTTACATGTGCGAAAACCATTGCCTTTTTCCTTGTCTACCCCATCGCATTACGTCCTGTATTCCACGATGTTGTCTGATATTTGTGTTTCTAATTTTGTCTCTTCTAGTCTTCCCCATTATGGTTTTTAGGTTCTTCATTTCATTAACCCTGCTGAACAGGCTTTTGGTTTTGTTTGTTTCCTCTCGAATTTCTATGCCATATGTCATTACTGGTCTGATGCAGGTCTTATGAATCTTAATTTTGCTGTCTGCTCGCTATGGAGAAGGGGTTTGTCCACACTATTTGCCTCAGCCATCTTGACATGGCCGATGCTCCGTTTATTCGGCTGCTCAGATCTTTCTCTGGATCTTGGTAGTACGACATATCTTTTCCTAGGTATCTAAACCAGGTATTGGTAGTGAAAGGTATTCGAGAATAGAATATAAATCAGACTAATTCAATTACTTTCGGTCGCTTCCTGTTTTGCAGGTATGATAGAAAATGCTTTTCTGAATCTCTGAATGACATATCATGTTAACATTTTACATATTCTCTTCTAAAAAAAATGCATTTTAAATTTTAAACTAGTGTGTCATAAAAATAAATATAACAATAATTTGACTCAAAACATCAAGTATATGGTGCCAAATTATTTGTTAAAAAATGCTTTTTCCAAATATGCTAATGAGCCACCCTCGCTCCATTTGAAAAAAAAATATATAATTATGATTAAAAATACGATTTGGGCATCTTTAAATCTGCTAGGAAAGGACACCAAAAACATTAGACGATCAAATATATTTCTCTAATGCTCTTTGATTAAATATTACTGTCTATAACCCTTATTTATATATTCTTAAAGTTGTTCAACCGAATAGACAAAATGTGCTGCCAACTGGAGGACAAATCGTGAACCTTTCGGGGCGGAG